GCCCGGGAACGGATAAAATACTGGCTGGCGTCCAAGGTAAGTAGGACACATTGTATATTAAAGATCAGTTATTGCCCCGAGAGGGCGTGCGGACTGGTGCAGAAGCGGCCTTAATGCACCTTATAGGACGTGTTTCGTGTAACATCGTTATCTAATATTTCGCATTTCGACTGCCAAGAATTGGAGAAATTTTGAACGGGGGAGATAGTCTCGGGTTTCTGGAGAGAATCGTAAGTATACCTAATCAGTGTTTAGTAAACTTAAGTCTCTGGGTGTCGTTGAAGTAATTGAAGTTGAAGTAAAAAGTTTTAATACAATAAGAGATTTCAGGTTTACTAGAGATTTCTACGATCCAGTCTAACTAAATTAGAATTACTTTTGTTATTACACACTCAGATGCAAAAAAAACGCAACGGAGAAATCTTTGGTCAAATTTTTAGTTTTTAGTCAAAGTGTTATATTTTTATTATTTTTAGCCCTATTTTCATGATTTTTTTTAGCAAGATCAAGTTTTTGAAGTTATTTTTCAATATAAATTGCCTATCATGTTCGACGTTTGGGAAATGATTGGCAGGAGGTTTAGAGATCGCGAAGCGGTACCAGCTTCATTAAATGAACTTCGCTTGGTTCTTAAAGAAGAATGGGGAAGCATAACACAATATGATACAGTGGTGGCCAAAAGTATGGAAACTTTTTTAATTTGTCATTTATGCTGAGAAATTAAAATATGAAATAAAACGACTTATATAATCGTGACCTACAAATAATTTCCTACAAAACCTAATACATTTAAATAAAAAATTACAGCTATCAAAAAATATATATAAAATTATGAATATTTTCTTGGTCATAAGTATGGAAACTTAAGAAGAATGTTTATTAAAATTCAAGATAATATAAAAATTACTAATATTTAGTGGAATATCCCTTTGAATTAATTACTTCTCTACATCTTCGTGGCATCGAATCGATCAATCTCGTACAATCTTTACTGGAAATGGCCGCCCATTCAGTTTTTAGCACTTCCCATAATTCATTTTTATTTGAAATAGAATGGCTTCGAATTTTGCTATCCAAATGGACCCATAAATTTTCTATGGGGTTAAGATCCGAGACTGTGAGGGCCAATCCATTAGTGGAACATTATGTTCATTTAACCAATTTTGAACAAACCGAGATTTGTGCTTGGGATCATTGTCTTGCTGGAACAACCATCTGAGTGGCATTTCTTCATCAGCATGAGGCAGCATATTATTCTCCAATATGTCTTTGTACATAAAACGGTCCATTATCCCATCAATTTTAACAAGAGGACCAACACCTGAGCGAGAAAAACACCCCCATACCATTATACTCCCACCCCCATGTTTTACTGTGGGCATCTGGTACTTATGGCTGTACCGTGTACCTTTTGGTCTTCGGACATAACGTCTCCCGTCACTACCAAACAGTTGAAACTTGCTTTCGTCGCTAAACAGTACAGTATTCCATTTCTGACAAGACCAGGTGAGATGATCTTGAGCAAATTTAAAGCGGGCCATCCTATTTTTCTTTGATATTAGTGGTTTCTTCACCGCAACTCTTCCAAAAAGTCCCATGTCATCCAACCTTCTTCTCACCGCGTGTGCAGACACCGATATTCCCCTTTCACCCATTTCTCGAGAAAATTCTGTGGATGTTTTTCTTGGATCTCTCATTGATATTCTCTTCATTACTTTCATTGTCCTGTTGCACAACTTTCTTGGTCTTCCTGACTTAAAAGCTGTTGAAACGTTCCCTGTTTTATTAAATTTACGAATTATTTTCGAAACGGTGCCTTTTAAAATGTTTAAATTTTTACTTATTTGAATTTGTTTATAACCGCTCTTGTATAATTCAACTATTTTATTTTTTAAATTCGTAGAGAAATATTTAGACTTGGGCATGATGTTTATATTAATCTGAAGCAAATCGTACCGTTTATCAGCTTAAACTAAATAATTTTAATGTATTAATTTATGGTTTCCATACTTTTGGCCACAAGAAATCTATTGTTCTCCTACAAAAACTTTTTTCGCTGTGTAATTTTTGGAATACTTTTATTTGCTGATAAGCTGTTCATTTATATTCCTGAGAGGTTTAAGCATAGCAATATTTTCTGTGATATTTTAAAAAGTAAAAAGTTTCCATACTTTTGGCCACCACTGTATATGGAGCCTCAATGACAGTATGAACTGACGTATACAGGTAGTTATAGCAGTCAAGGGAGACAACACAAAGTATTAGGGTATTTTTTACAATTTTCCTGTTTGTATACTTGAGTAGGTATTACATATGTTTTCTTCTTTAATATAGTTAGTTCTGTTATCGCTATTAATGTTTATTACAGAAAATCACGACTGTATCGTTAGTCTTTAACGTTTGTTTCTTAAATTTAGTATAGAGTATTCAATGCAGCATAATATGACGTTACGACAATAGTCACCAAAACCATCTCATCATATTAAAAAATTACATCTAATGTAACGATAATTGAAAAAATTGCAAAATAATCGCGATCAGTTCATTTCGCTTTTAAAAACTACTACATTCCGCTCTTAACTTTTTTTTAAGCAAAGCTTGTATTGACACGAATAAAAAAAATGCTCAGGAGTCCATGGTTCTGACCGTAAAATTATATTTTAGGAAAATAACACATAAAATTAGTGCACAAGGTGTTTTAAAGTTAGGGTAAAAAAACAACTCCTCCATTAACCGTAACTGTATAATTGGCTATCGGAGGACTTGGCTATTTACTATTGGCTATTGGCACTATTGGCTATCGGAGGAAAAATTCTTGCAAAAATTATGTCAAATCTCCTGTACCCACATATAGAAAAAATCCTTCCAGAATCGCAAACGGGTTTTCGCACCAACCGTGGCACCGTCGATTCCATATTTTCCATCCGCCAACTACAAGAAAAAGTAAAAGAGCAGCAGTCTAAACTTTATGTTGCATTCATCGATCTAACGAAAGCCTTTGACTTTGTGAACAGATATGCACTTTGGGTAATTATGAAAAAGTTCGGTGTATCCAATAAATTTCTTACAGTGTGTAAAAGCTTCCATAACAACAACCAGTCAAGAGTGTCACATCATGGATCACTAAGCGATCCCTTCCTGACAATAACAGGAGTTAGGCAGGGATGTGTTTTAGCGCCTCTCCTATTCAACATATTCATGACAGCGCTCTCCATCATAGTGGACAGCAAACTGCAGGAGAGAGGATTGGGCATTAGATACAGATATGACGGCGGTCTGTTCAACATTAAAAGACTCAGGGCAAAAACCCGTACAAAATTCATCACAGAACTTCAATACGCTGATGACTGCGCTCTAGTTGCAAACACGTTAGAACAATTACAAGAAATGTTGAACACATATACCTGGGCATACGATGCTTTGGGCCTTAAGCTAAACATTGACAAAATCAAAATCATGTGCACTCCCCCAGAAGATCATAACGATGCTATAAAAATCGGGGAAGAACTATTGGAATATCTAGCGGAATTTAATTACCTCGGCAGTTTGATTTCGGAAAAGGCCAATATCGACTCTGAAATTCAGCACAGGATCAGCAGCGCCTCAAGAGCATTCTGGAAATTAAAAGACAGGGTTTTCTACAATCATGACTTGAGTACAAAAACGAAACTTACAGTGTACCGAGCAATTATAATCCCCACCATGTTATATGGGAGCGAAACCTGGGTGGCCGTACGGCCGACATATGAACGCATTAAACAAGTTGCAACAGAGACACCTTAGACAACTCTTAAGAATCCGGTGGTTCCATCATGTCTCAAATGTATCGGTCCTTGAAAATGCTAACTGCGAGAGTATTGAAGTCATGGTTACAAAATCCCGCTTAAGATGGGCTCGTCACGTATGCAGAATGCAAGAAAACCGCATACCGAAATCTCTGCTTTACTTTTTTTTCTCTGCTTTACTTCTTACTTTTTTTTAGTTTGTAGATGGTAAGAGGAGGCCGGGTGGACAACTCAAAAGGTACAAGGACATTTTCAACGAAAACTTAAAGGGGATTAACATGCAGAATCATTGGGAAGAAGCAGTTCACAATAGAACTCAATGGAGAAGAATTGTAAACTCAGTTAACAGCGACAACCAAAAAGTAAAGAGGCAACAAAGCAATGAGATTTTTGAATATCCGGAGTGCGGTAGGCAAATAACATCACGTATCGGGCTTTTCAGTCACAGAAAAGCTCATGAAAGAAAACGCCTTGCGTGACCATCTTTTGATGCGTGTCGAACACTCGTCAGCGAGTAATGGCAGTATGTATGTAACTGTATAATATTCCAAATACTGAAGTGTATAAAAGGCTTAGTTTACGAATTAAAGGTGATATAATTATATACAGTTTGCTAAAACAGTCATGAAAATAGGGCTAAAAACGAGGCTAAAAATAACAAAAATATAACACTTTAAATTTGCCCAAACATTTCTCCGTTGTGTTTTTTTTTGCTTCTGAGTAACTACCTCAGTAACTCGCCACGATGTGATAATCTAGTCTAACTAAAAAACTTTATTTTTAAGGGCACTGTTTATATTTACTTAGTAATCGAAATGGTAGATTATTCTTTTATAATTATGATGTTGTGCAATTGCCAAGTCATTATAATTATTACAGAAATAAAGATGACTAATACTGATACTAACAATTTATAACAAAATTGTTGAATAGGTGCTTAAAGAGAGACTAAATAAAATAAACTGACTTGGTTTTACATGGGATCTCAATTTTTATAGTAGAAGAATTGTGTTGCGAGACTTGGCAATGTTTTACATTGTATATTTTTAATGGGATAATATCATTACGCTTTGATATCCATAATACAGAAACACGTACTATTTCTTTTAATATACAAAAAAAGATAATCTTATTTCCACTTCAGGTTTTTGTCCTGTTAAAAACTTGACTGGCGAACCGGATAGTGTGAAACGAATCTTAGCTATAATATATTACCCCTGAAATTTTGGCAAAGGCTTCTCTGCACTCCTGCGGCTCCAGGCCGTAGCAGGAGCACACGCTGGTAAACTCTTCCACGTCGATGGAGCCGTCGCCACTGGCGTCCTCCAGGTCGAACATGAACCGCTGGTACTGGTTCTGCCAGTCGAGGGCGTTGCCGGGATTCTTCGCGTACTCGTCCCACATCGAGGCCCATTCCTCAACACTGACCTAGAAAATTGTTAATTTTAATTTAGTTAAGTTAGTTTAAATTAATTAAGTCGGTTTCATAAAGAAAATATTACGTTAACAAAAATATAATTACAATTTTTGATTTTAAAATGACGTCCACGGTATTTTTTTACTCTGTTCGATAGAAAATGACACTCTGAATAGAATAACATATCATATGTCAACTTTTGACATTTTTGGATATGATTTATTTGAAATTGTAACATGCTTTGAATAAGAAGATTAGGTGCGTATTCATTATCCGCACGAACGAACGAACGAACGAATGTTCGCTAGTGGTATGGACGGGGACCGCACGATAGGACCGCACGAGAAGACCGGGGGCATTTGTTGGCGAACGCCTTTGATGTACCGACTCAAAACGGATGGTCGAGCGAACGAACGAACGAACGGCCGCATGCGTTCGGTCCCCGTCTAAATATACCGCACTTTCATTCGTTCGTTCGTTCGTTCGTTCGGATAATGAATACGCACCTTAAGGAAGGAGCCTATCAAAAATCTTAGGTCCACGATGGGACTCAAATATGGCCGACTTAAATTCCGTTTTATCAGTGCCGTTCTAATTTTATTTATAAAATGTAAAACTATGATGTAGGGTAGACGTGGGGTAGACTCAATATTTTTTTTTATTTTACGTTGTGAATAAATGTTGGTAGTTATTAAAATTGTTATAAAAACATATTATTATAATAAAAATAGATAAGCTTTAATAATTATTTATTAACACAAACATCCGATACGCTACTGAAGCAGGTAGGTCAAATTGACGTATCTAAATTCTTTGACATCTAATCTTTGACAAGTAGTAAATAAAAGCAAAAATGCAAGAAAAAAATATATAATTAGTTAATTTAAGTGAATTTCATAAATGATCGGTTTCCTACACGTATGTATATTATATAGTCACTTACTAGCGAAAAGTTGTTCCATTATTTCACTCGATTTTTGCTGAGATCTACCGCACGCTACACAACCAACTATTTTAGATTCTTTTTCGATAAATCGCGATAGTGTCACTGTTAATTTAAGTTCTGCCGCAATTTCCATCTAGATTTACTACCTTTCTACAACTATCAGTAGTAGAATAAATAATAAATAACATAAAATAAGCTCCCTAAAGACTGACAAATCCACAAAATTTAAAATCAAATTCAAATGTGTCAAATGAATAGTCAAACAGAACTGTCAAGGATGCCCACCCTAGAGTCCTTTTTCCGCCCACCATGCATGAATACATGAATAGCATTATGCTCCTTCCTTAGTATTCTTATTCAAAGGTAACATGCGGTTCATATCGACAGTTTAACTCGAAATACAAAGTGTGTGGTACCAAATTATTCGTTAAAAATGCTTTTTTCAAATATGCTAATGAACTACACTTCTTCCATTTGAAAAATATTGACTTATGATTAAAAAAACGATTTGGGCACCTTTTAACCGGCCAGGACAAGACACGAAAAACATTAAATGATCAAATCTATTTTTTCAAGGCTTCTTGATTAAAAATTGGTGTTTTTAACACAGCCATGGCACTCTAGATTCAAATTTAAAATACGATTTTTTTTAAAGTAAAAATATCAGAAGTTGACAATGTGTCTGAACTTAGTAACATATCCCATATGTTATTCTATTCAGTGTCACTTTGTATTGAATAAAGTAAAAATATACCGCGGGTGCCATTCAAAAAACAAAAGTTGTAGTCATTTCCGGTGAAACCGGATGTGACCAAAGACAATTGAATACGTCAATTAATCCAATTTTATGTATACTAATATACTAAATCTCGTATTTTATCTGAAAAAAAAAGAATAAAAATATAAGTTTCTATAAAAACTTACATTTTAATTCTTTTTCTGATAATTTTCTAATATAAGTATGAAATATGAGTGTTTTTTTTTGTTTTAGTATAAAGCCCTAAAACCATTTTTTTGGTATTTCTGTAACTAGTTGTATGTGTATGAGAGCGTAGACCATATTTCACTATAGAAACAAATAGAAACAAATGCTTAGAGATTTATTTTCAGGTTCAAATTTATTTTTGGGGATTTTATTGATATTTCGACGTGCGTCCATCGTGAAATATTGTCTATGTTAATCATCGGCGTGTACAAAAATAAAATAAATCGATTTGGAGCCATTATTTAAACTAAACTGGAATTTGTAATAGATACATCGTTTTAAAGAAAAATGAGAGTTCATTTGGAATGACAGATGGTAATTACACAGCTGCTTTACATGCTGCTTTTTTATTTACTGTTAATGAAAACTAATATTTATAGAAATAATGAACTGCTTACTTGTCCATCCTGGTTGGCATCCGCTCTTTGTCTGAGGCCGTCCCAAATCTGGATCATGCTGTCATAAGTTTTTTTGTATTGGTCACTGCCTGGAGCCCATCCTCTTAATGAGCAAATTTTCTAATATAAAATACAAATTAGTAACTATTTTTATTAAAAATGTAATCAAATCTGCAGAAAATTTTACCAATACCAAACTATAACTTATTAATATGATTAATTTTTTTGGTATTCAATAGGACCAAGTGGTGTAAAAATGAAACACGCCATATTTCGGTAAAAAATAAGGCATTGAAATAAAACTTCTGAAAACTTATATTCTGTCAGTTTGCTGGTCAGGAATATTTAACAATAATAATTGTTAAGATATCATCCTCATAATTTGTTTAATATATGTGTTATGTATCATAAAAAAACTGAATAAGAAGAAGCTACAAATCCATTGTCGCATTTTGAGGATTAAAACTTTTGAAACTGACTATCAAACTTTTGTCGGGTGACATCAATATGAATAATGATGTAATGATGTAAGCTTTCGATTCCTGTCGTTGCGTGAGTGTGCGTCTAGAAAGGCATGCCCATTTAAATTAAAGTCTGTTGGTATGAGAAGCTATTTTTTTGGAGGGGTAAATTTGAGACACACACAGGGGTAATAATAAGATAAAGGATGATAAAGGTAAGGGCAAATAAGGGACAACTTAATAGCATCTATATTTTCAAATTTTAGTCACAACTCAAAAATGCCAGAAAATATGTATAAAAAACCCAAAGAGGTATAGGGAAAAATACAGCCAAAGCTTTTCATATTGATAAATGAAAACTGTAGTTACTGAGATAAATAATGATTTAAAGAAATATATTATATTAAAGTTTGCAAGGTGGGACTTCTAGGACTACGGAATATTAGCTTTTTCAATACATTTTGGGAAATATTTAGTTCATTAATTGGTATAGTTGTATTTATTTTTCTTCTACTTTTTAAGCGATACTATTAATATTTTAATGTCACTTATTAACTGCATAACCTTCTTTTTTAATGTACAATGCAATTTTTTTAAATTATAATGTTTTACACTATCAATTTATAAATGCTGGCGACACGGTGTAATTTTACTGTATTTTGATTTGAATTGTATACAGGTTTTCTTTATTAGTTCAGATTTTAATTTTTTAGTTCTACTAATAAAAAATATATTTCTGTATACTTTTTATTCTCTAGTCACACATTTACGCCAGCATTTAATATACTGGGTGGTCCGAATTGTATTCGGAAAACCTGATAAACAATAAAAATAAGTCAAAAAGTTCGTATAAATGTATGCCCTAAAATGCTTTCTTTCGCAGATACAGGATATAGAAATTTCATTTTTATTTAAATTAAAGTCTGTTGGTATGAGAAGCTATTTTTTTGGAGGGGTAAATTTGAGACACACACAGGGGTAATAATAAGATAAAGGATGATAAACGTAAGGGCAAATAAGGGACAACTTAATAGCATCTATATTTTCAAATTTTAGTCACAACTCAAAAATGCCAGAAAATATGTAAAAAACACAAAGAGGTATAGGGAAAAATACAGCCAAAGCTTTTCATATTGATAAATGAAAACTGTAGTTACTGAGATAAATAATGATTTAAAGCAATATATTATATTAAAATTGCAACCCTCAAGTTTGCAAGGTGGGACTTCTAGGACTACGGAATATTAGCTTTTTCAATACATTTTGAGAAATATTTAGTTCATTAATAGGTATAGTTGTATTTATTTTTCTTCTACTTTTTAAGCGACACTATTAATATTTTAATGTCTCTTATTAACTGCATAACCTTCTTTTTTAATGTACAATGCAATTTTTTTAAATTATAATGTTTTACACTGTCAATTTATAAATGTTGGCGACACGGTGTAATTTTACTGTATTTTGATTTGAATTGTATACAGGTTTTCTTTATTAGTTTAGATTTTAATTTTTTAGTTCTACTAATAAAAAATATATTTCTGTATACTTTTTATCCTCTAGTCACACATTTACTCCAGCATTTAATATACAGGGTGGTCCGAATTATATTCGGAAAACTTAATAAACAATAAAAATAAGTCAAAAAGTTCGTATAAATGTATGCCCTAAAATGCTTTCTTTCGCAGATACAGGATATAGAAATTTCATTTTTATTTAAATTAAAGTCTGTTGGTATGAGCAGCTATTTTTTTGGAGGGGTAAATTTGAGACACACACAGGGGTAATAATAAGATAAAGGATGATAAAGGTAAGGGCAAATAAGGGACAAGTTAATAGCATCTATATTTTCAAATTTTAGTCACAACTCAAAAATGCCAGAAAATATGTAAAACACCCAAAGAGGTATAGGGAAAAATACAGCCAAAGCTTTTCATATTGATAAATGAAAACTGTAGTTACTGAGATAAATAATGATTTACAGAAATATATTATATTAAAATTGCAACCCTCAAGTTTGCAAGGTGGGACTTCTAGGACTACGGAATATTAGCTTTTTCAATACATTTTGAGAAATATTTAGTTCATTAATTGGTATAGTTGTATTTATTTTTCTTCTACTTTTTAAGCGACACTATTAATATTTTAATGTCACTTATTAACTGCATAACCTTCTTTTTTAATGTACCATGCAATTTTTTTAAATTATAATGTTTTACACTGTCAATTTATAAATGTTGGCGACACGGTGTAATTTTACTGTATTTTGATTTGAATTGTATACAGGTTTTCTTTATTAGTTTAGATTTTAATTTTTTAGTTCTACTAATAAAAAATATATTTCTGTATACTTTTTATCCTCTAGTCACACATTTACTCCAGCATTTAATGTACAGGGTGGTCCGAATTATATTCGGAAAACTTAATAAACAATAAAAATAAGTCAAAAAGTTCGTATAAATGTATGCCCTAAAATGCTTTCTTTCGCAGATACAGGGTGTAGAAATTTCATTTTTATTTCGATTTTTTCGAAATAATTTCTGAACTGTAGTCGATATTTGGATAATAATTGGTGTCGGGGTGTTCTTGATTTTGATGTCAATGATGGACTTATAGAGGCGCTACCTATATATGTTTAACTGTTTTGAAGAGTAATAACATTGCGTCCATACCTGTATAAAACTACTGAGTAATAAAATACCGTAAGATCGAATAAAAACGGCGTCAACGATGGCTATGAAATGAAGATCGCTGTCATTTTACATGTAAAATTATATGGGAAATGTCATCGATCGTCATTTCCAAGCCAACTGGACGCCGTTTTTTTTCGATCATACGGTATATATATCCGTAATTTTTGGCGTAAAAATTTCTCTTGGTAAAAATCGCTGTGAACAATCGTTCTTTAAGATGTATTGACAAGTATAAGACAATATACTTGGCAATACATGTCATTATTGACAAAAAATAAACATGTTTGAGTTGATGTGATTGAAATGATAAATTTGGTATCTATCTTTATTTTTTTAAATTAATCATACATTTTTCTTCGAAAAAATACGATATAACAGTTTCTGTTGAACCTTTGACACAAAAAAGATTTCAATTTTTTTTTATTTTAGTCTAAAATCTATCCAGTTAACATGTTTAATTTATGTCAATGATGACATGTATTGATTATTTCGATTGAAAATATCTATAGAATCATTACTCGTAGCGATTTTTACCAAGATACCTTTTTTACGTAAAAAACGACGGAAATATATATTTTTTAACTCAATAATTTTATACAGGTACGGACGAAAAGTTGTTACTCTTCAAATCAATTAAAAACATGTAGGTGGCGCCCTCTGTAAGTAGGAGTCATATTGATTTCAACATCAAATTTCTAATGTCAAAAAGCTTATATTCAACACCAATATTCATCCACATATTCACGTAATAGTTCATATATTATATGGAAAAAATCGAAATAAAAATGAAACTTCTACACTCAGTATCACCGAAAGTAAACATTTTAGGACATAAATTTATACCAACATTTTTACTTATGTTTATCTGCAGAATATGCTACTGAAGTTTCCCGAATAAAATTCGGACCACCCTGTAAACGAAATAATAACCTTTAAACGTATATTTTGTGATTTTCTTATATTTAATCTAGCATGTCTTCTTTTTAGAATTTTTTTGATGATATGAGACTGACAGATGATTTGACTTTTCTGAATACTGACTTTTAGGGATATTTTTCCTATATTTTTGCATTTGCAGTGTTGCCTTTTCACCAAATGCCTTTTATAAAAGAAATACAAGTATTTCTTTAATAAAAGGCATTTGGTTTGGCACTGGTATTTTAAATGTTGTAACTAAGAAAAACAGTAAATTTTTTTAAATATGTCTCATTTTTTCACCGCTTGACCCTAAATATTTAATTTACTAATTAAGAGTCATAGCAATATGCCCCAAACTATTAATAAATTTAATCTTATGTTGTAAGTTTTCATGAAAAAGCACATTTATCAGTTTAGGTAGACAGAGCAGATGGCCTAACTTAAATTTAAATTATTGTCTACGGAAACTTGGACGTAAGGATATTGATAAGGGTAAGAATGCCTCTAGCAACTGTTACATCTCCAATGACACTTTTTCCTTCCTACTAAACCCAACTCGGCCTTTACGTAATAAATTATCATTATGAGATTTTAAAAGCAAAAATATAAATTTTGTTTTCAGGATATTTGTTCACCTTGAACGATAAGATTGAGTGAGATTAGCAATACTTTTCAGATAATGACATTATTATACTTGATAATAGATAAAATATGACATAATAATATAATTTCGAAATAAATAAACATAGGTACCGTATGTTTCAAATTCGACAATTACCATTGGGATATACCTTAAATTGAGACTAAGTTACCTTACCAGCTTAAATAGTAATACGACAAAGCTTAAATTGAGACAAAGTTAGCCCAATGATAATCCCAGCATCATTCAGGCAGACATCTACGCGTAGAATTTATCTTAGAGGAACTATTTGAATACCTCGGTAGATTGAAGTTAAGAAACAAAATACTGTGGGGAAAATGGGGAAACACCAGATCACCTCATCACTGAGTGCACCGAGACGACAACCATTCGTGCTATAAACTTTGGTAC